TACCCCCATTCAGCCCCGCAAAGAGCGGTACTACCGCGGGGGCAGGGCGGTACTACCGCGGGGGCAGGGCGGTACTACCGCCCATAAGCGGTACTACCGCTCCCCTTCAGCGGTACTGCCGCGCTGGAAGAGAAGGGGCTGGGGCTAGGACCCAGAGCGGTACTACCGCGGAGGCAGGGCGGTACTACCGCTCACAAGCAGCACTACCGCCACTACTACCGCAGCAAGTACCGTAAAACCCGACACGAGAAAATGCGCATTCGAGTCGAGGCGGTAGGAGCATGGAGTCACAACGGTACTGCGACTGAGGCCAACCAGCGGTACTACTGCTCCAAGGGGCGGCACTACCGCTCCGAGGAGCGGTACTACCGCTCCGAGGAGCTGTACTACAGCTTACTGAGCTTCAGACGTACTACCGCTATACTGCAGCTAGTGCCGTAAAACCCGACACGAGAAAATGCGCACTAGAGTCGAGGCGGTAGGAACACGGAGCCGCAGCGGTACTACAGCTGAGGCCATAAAGCGGTACTACTGCTCCTAGGAGCGGTACTACCGCTCCGAGGAGCGGTACTGCCGCTTAGTGAGCCTCAGCGGTACTACCGCTGTGGCCCGGTACTACCGCTGGGTCCAGGAAAAACCACAAAGGGAGAAGAGAGAAGCTCCATAGAGACGGAGAGAAAACGGTGGGAGAGAGAAGAACGTGTACGTGTTGATTCCTCCCAAACCATACCGAAGCAAATCCCCTCTTGATAGTACGGTGACTACTACGAAACTTAGTCCACCAGCAAAGTCACGAAGGAAGCTACACTGTCTTGAGTAGAGCGCCGAGGGGAAATAATCATTGCGTGCCAAAGGATGAATATCTGAAAGAAACCAAAACACCTGATTAGTCCGCAAATGCATTGTCATCAATCACCAAAACACCGTAGGGATAAATATGCCCTTACAAAGTGGGAGACTGAAGGAAATATGCCCTGGAGGCAATAATAAAGTTATTATTTATTCCTCATATCATGATAAATGTTTATTATTCATGCTAGAATTGTATTAACCGGAAACTTAGTACATGTGTGAATACATAGACAAACAGAGTGTCACTAGTATGCCTCTACTTGACTAGCTCGTTAATCAAAGATGGTTATGTTTCCTAACCATAGACATGAGTTGTCATTTGATTAACGGGATCACATCATTAGGAGAATGATGTGATTGACTTGACCCATCCCGTTAGCTTAACACTTGATCGTTTAGTTTTCTGCTATTGCTTTCTTCATGACTTATACATGTTCCTATGACTATGAGATTATGCAACTCCTGATTACCGCAGGAACACTTTGTGTGCTACCAAACGTCACAACGTAACTGGGTGATTATAAAGGTGCTCTACAGGTGTCTCCGATGGTACTTTTTGAGTTGGCATAAATCAAGATTAGGATTTGTCACTCCGATTGTCGGAGAGGTATCTCTGGGCCCACTCGGCAATGCACAACACTATAAGCCTTGCAAGCATTGTAACTGATGAGTTAGTTGCGGGATGATGTATTACGGAACGAGTAAAGAGACTTGCCGGTAACAAGATTGAACTAGGTATTGAGATACCGACGATCGAATCTCGGGCAAGTAACATACCGATGACAAAGGGAACAACGTATGTTCTTATGCGGTTTGACCGATAAAGATCTTCGTAGAATATGTGGGAGCCATTATGAACATCTAGGTTCTGCTATTGGTTATTGACCGGAGACGTGCCTCGGTCATGTCTACATAGTTCTCGAACCCGTAGGGTCCGCACGCTTAAAGTTTGGTGACGATTGGTATTTTGAGTTTTTGTATTTTGATGTACCGAAGGTAGTTCGGAGTCCCAGATATGATCATGGACATGATGAGGAGTCTCAAAATGGTCGAGACGTAAAGATCGATATATTAGACGACTATATTCGGACACCGGAAGTGTTCCGGGTGGTTTCGGAGAAAACCGAAGTGCTAGAGGGCTACCGGAACCCCCCGGGAGAAATAGTTTGCCTTATGGGCCTTAGTGGAGAGAGAGAGAGGGCCGGCCTAGGGCAGGCCGCGCGCCCCTCCCCCTCTGGTCCGAATTGGACTAGGAGAGGGGGGGGCGGCGCCCCCCTTTCCTTCTCCCTCTCCCCCTTCCTTTCCCCCTCCTAGTAGGAGTAGGAAAGAGGGGAATCCTACTCCTACTAGGAGGAGGAATCCTCCTCCTGGCACACCCTCTAGGGCCGGCCGGCCTCCCCCCTTGCTCCTTTATATACGGGGTCAGGGGGCACCTCTAGACACACAAGTTGATCTATTCCAGCCGTGTGCGGTGCCCCCCTCCACCATAATCCACCTCGATTATATCGTAGCGGTGCTTAGGCGAAGCCCTGCATCGGTAGCATCATCATCACCGTCATCACGCCATCGTGCCGACGAAACTCTCCCATGAAGCTCTGCTGGATCGGAGTTCGTGGGACGTCATCGAGCTGAACGTGTGCTGAACTCGGAGGTGTCGTGCGTTCGGTACTTGGATCGGTCGGATCGTGAAGACGTACGACTACATCAACCGTGTTGTGCTAACGCTTCCGCTTTCGGTCTACGAGGGTACGTGGACGCACTCTCCCCTCTCGTTGCTATGCATCACCATGATCCTGTGTGTTCGTAGGATTTTTTTGAAATTACTACGTTCCCCAACATTTTCATATTCAGAAGTCGCGAGGCAAGCTTGTTTATCAAAAAACAGGCGGTGGAGAAGGCATCGCTCCAGAACCTAAACGGAACGGAGGCATGAGCTAGCAAAGTAAGTTCAGTTTCTACAAGATGACGATGCTTACGTTCAGCGGTTTCATCCTGCTGATGTGTATGAGGACAAGACACACGGTGAGAAATCCCAAGTTTGTTGAAAAATGTGTTGAGGTTGTGATATTCACCCCCTAGTCGGATTGAACATGAATAATTTTATGCTTAAGGAGACGCTCAACGTGTGCTTGAAACTGAATAAAGATATCAAACACATCAGATTTTTGCTTAATAAGATAAAGCCAAGTGAACCGGCTATAAGCATCAATGAAACTGACATAATAATTATGGCCATTAACAGACGTTTGGGCATGACCCCATACATCAGAAAACACAAGCTAAAGAGGATGTTTCACAACACGACTAGACTCTGAAAACGGAAGTTGATGACTCTTGCCTGCTGACAGGCATCACAAATAGTTTCAGCAGTTTTATTGGACACAACTGGTAGTTCATGACGATGTAGCACATGACAAACTATAGGAGCAGCAGGGTGACCAAGGCGTGCATGCCAATGTGTAGGTGACACACGAACACCGCTGAACGCCTGAGGAGAAGACTGCATAGGAGATGTGGGCGGCGCGTCAAGTGCATATAAACCATGGCGAAGACTGCCACTAAGCAGAACGGCCCTCATGTCCCGATCCTTGATAAAGAAACGAAAAGGGTGAAACTCAGCAAGGACATTATTATCACGAGTAAGTTGAGGGACAGACAACTAACTACGTGTAGCAGTGGGAACTCGAAGAATATTGGAAAGATGTTGTTTTCGAAAGTAGTGAGGCCTGGACAACATGGAAGATGCGCATACCTGCTCCATTGGCGGTGTGCACCTGATCATGACCGCGATATGGTTCCTGAGTGGAGAGCTTGGCCATCTCGTTGGTGAGGTGGTTCATGGCTCCCGTGTCCATATACCATGTAGGATCAATGGAGTAGGATGGAGTGCGCCCATGTTCATGACTTGCCACCGCAACAGCCTGTTTTTCATTCCCTTTGCCATTATTGCCCAGGCCGAGGAAATCTTGCTTGTAGCATCGATGACAACGGGAGGCGATGTGGCGCTCAATGCTACACAGCTGACAGGCCTGCTGAGCACCGCAACAGGGATAACAAGCCACCGGCCTGGCACCGCCAGTGATGGATGGCGCAGCGCCCCGCGGAGCCTGCGGGGATGAGGCCGACTTCCCACCAAGTGGCGACGGCTTCTGTGGCTTACCGCGGGTCGCGACATTGACAGAGACGAAGCTCGGAGAGGCACGACGCGCTTTGATGCGCTGTTCACGACCAATAAGACGCACATAGAGCTCTCGTGGCGGAAGTGGAGCCTCACGACCATGGATATTCTCGACGAGATTGTCATAATCATCATCAAGGTCATTGAGCACGTGGGTGCTGAATTCCTCATCTCCAAGCGGTTGGCCGATCGAGGCCAAGGTGTCAGCGAGACCGGGCATCTTGGTGAAGTACTCAGTGATGGTTAGGCCGCCGAGTTTAGTCTCCCCCAACTCGGTGCGTATAGCATGATCACTCGTCATAGATTGTGAGGCGAAGCTGCTGTGAAGCGCCGACCAGGCATCCCGAGACGTCGCGGCGAAGATGACCAGCGACGACACGCTCGGAGTGAGCGATGACTGGATAGCGGAGAGGATTGCCTGATCCTGGGCCACCCACACGTGATACGCCGGATGATACGGCGGCGGACACGGGTTGGAGCCGTCAACGTATCCCTCCAGGTAGCGGCTTCGGAGGAGAGGTAGCACCTGAGCCCGCCATGACAAGTAATTATTCGGCGTAAGCTTCACTGGAAGGAGGTGCGAGAAGTAAAACGACGACGGCGCCGCCGTACGATCCGCATGAGCCTGTGCCGGTGGTGCGTAGCAACCCGTCAAAGGATCCGTCTCCGGGTGAGGGGCGATTGCCAGAGGCGCGCCATCATATGGCGACGAAGGATAGGCGCTGGGGGCAGCTGAACCATCTCCATCCATCTCCATCTCTATCTCTTTCATTTAGTAATTTAGAATAGAAAGAATGTAGGTGGGGTGGGGGAGGTGGAAAAAGAGAAGAAGCAAGCAAGGAAGGAAAGAAATCCCCAACTCAAAACTCCTTCCTTCATCAGATTTGCTCCCCTCCCCACCCAAATCTGTCTGTCCCAACTCCCAACCCTAACCAAACCCCCAACTCCACTCCTTCATCACCCAAGAAGCATGGCGCCGGCGGCCGGTCGCGGCCGAGGACGAGGACGGGCCCGGGGACGCGGCCGCGGCCGTGGGCGCGGACGAGCGGCCAAGACCCCGCCGCCTCCCGCCGCAGGTGCTTCCTTTCTTCCCTCCTCTCTGGTGGGCGCGCGCGCTCTCTCTGTCTCTGTTTCTCGCTGTCTAACCAAGCAATCCCCTTCCTTGCTTGCTTGCTCCCGCCCGCCCGCCCGCCCGCAGAACCCGCGCCGGAGGAGGCTCCCGACGCCGCCGAGCAGGAGCAGGAGCAGGAGCAGGAGCAGGATCAGGAGCACGAACAGGAGCAGGAGCAGCTCACCCACAACACCCAAGGTAGTTGCCCTTGTTCCTCTTTCCTCCGCCCTACCTAAATAAAAAGTTTTCGACTTTCCTTCTCACTGCCCGTCTCCTCTTCTTCTTTCCAGATGCCGCCGCCTCTGCCTCTGCCTCTGCCTCTGCTTTTGCGGGGCGGGAGACGATTGAGATCTCTGACTCGACAGAGGCATCCCCTCAACACTGCGCCTCCTCGCCAGACATATATAGTAAGTACACTACCTACTCTAACTCTAATCTTACTCTATATCTATATCTATATATATAGAGAGAGAGAGACAAGATGTTTCCTTTCCTTTCCACTACTGTACATACTCCCCCATTCGACCTTGTATTGTAATGGATAATGGAATGTCATGTCATGTCATGATGCCATCAAGGCTCAACCACAGTCCACCAGCACATCAAGGAGGAGGAGCCAACCTCAATCACAGTCGATGAGCCGAGTGAGGCCGACGTGCCGTCTCCTACCAATGATGATGAGCAGCAGCAGAAAATGGAGGTGGAGGCTGGAGAGCCTCATGATATGTTGTTGTCCGTAGAGCAAGAAGAAGCGCAAGGAAATAATAACCAGGAGGATGCAGGGCCCGATGCGAACAAGCAAGCGGTACAGAGCAAAGAAGCAGAGGTGATAGAGCAGGAGGGTGGAAAAGCCGATGACGATGATGTAGCGGTAAAGACTGCTGCAACTCATGATGCACAAAATAAGCAAGACAGCCAACCTAACCCACTCCACCAGGGACAAATGCTTGCTGCAACTCATGATGATAATTCAGAAAATAAGCACCCACTCCACCAACAACAGATGGATGCTCAGCAGGAAGAGGAGGAGGAGGAGGATCCTCAAGAGGTCATCTTCGACGACTCTGTCTCCGTGGGTGAAGGGCAGGCCGCATCTGAGATCAAGCAAGGAGACGACCTTGCTAAGGCCACGGAGGACGACGACGACGGGCAGGCTGCAGCTGAGAGCAAACAGGAAGAGCACCGTGCTAGGGCGTCGGAGGAGCACGGCCAGGCTGCAGGTGAGGTCAAACAGCAAGAGGACGAGCGCAAGGTTATGTCAGACATGGCCAAGAACAGGCAGCGCAAAAAGGAGCTAGAGATCTTTGTGGGAGGGCTGGACCGTGAAGCCGTCGAGGAGGATATTAGGAAGGTGTTTGCGCACGTCGGTCATGTTGTGGAGGTCCGTCTCCACAAGGATCTCTCCACCAACAAGAACAAGGGCTTTGCGTTCGTCAGGTTTGCAAACAAACACCAGGTGGCTCGCGCGCTTGCTGAGGTGAAGAATCCTATGGTAATACCTCAGCTCCCCTGACACTATTACTTTGAAAAACAAATGTTAAGATACAGTGTTCTGTGATGCGATGTCCGATTGTTTGTGGGATGTGTGACACATGTTTAATTTATTTTTTCTTCTGCTGCAGATACATGGCAAACGTTGTGCCATTGCCGCTAGCGAGGACAACGACACACTCTTCTTGGGCAATATTTGCAATACATGGACAAAGGAAGCTGTAAGTTTTCCTTCAATAATATGCGCAATCACGAGCTTGCCTGTTAATAAGTAAATTTTGCTAATTCTGCGCCTTTCTTTTTCAGATTAAGAAGAGGCTGCTTGACTATGGAGTTGAAGGAGTTCAAAGCTTAACTCTTGTTCCTGATACTCAAAACGAAGGCCAGAGCCGTGGTTTTGCATTTCTCGAGTTTTCTTGCCACGCGGATGCGATGCTTGCATTCAAGAGGCTGCAGCAACCAGATGCTCTGTTTGGTCATCCTGAGAGAACTGCAAAAGTTGCTTTTGCAGAGCCAATAAAAGAAGCAGATGCAGAAGTTATGGCTCAGGTGCTTAACTACTTTTACTATCTACTTTTTTTATTGATGGTGTTAGTGAATTAAATGACATAAGTAGAAAGATGCCGTTGTACTTGCAGTAATAGTTTTAATACTAACTATTGGTTAGCTATTTGTAGTTTATGATTTATCCAGGAGTTATGGTTTGCAATGATGCTCATATTTGGCTGCTTGTTACTACAATTTAGATAATTTAAATTTTACATCAGACTGAGATGAGATGTCTTCTATGACCATATGATTACCACATATATTTGTGCATTATACACTTTTCTTGGTGTCCTCACTTTGTTACATATGGGTATTGTGGTGGAAAAAAAACAAAAACAAAATCCTATTTGCACATTTGGAATGTTCTCAATTATTTGGTTTTCATGTCCAACCATTGCAAGTCTATGATTTGTCATGTCGTTGACTACTTTTTCATGCTGCAGGTCAAATCAGTTTTTATTGATGGACTTCCACCATACTGGGATGAAGAGCGTGTTAAAAACCGATTCAAAGCTTATGGTTTGATAGAACGAGTTGTGCTTGCTCGCAATATGTCTAGTGCTAAAAGAAACGATTTTGGATTTGTCAACTTCTCAACCCATGAGGAGGCTCTTGCTTGTATTGAAGCCACCAACAACACCGAGCTGGGTGATGTTGGAAAAGCAAAGGTATTTTTCTGGTTTGGAATGGTACCGTCTTTGTTTTCATGTATACCAAACAATGTGCTCACATGTCCTTGTGTAGATGCTTATAAGTGATAGATAATTTTGGTGTTTTTTTAACTTAGCTAAAAGTAAGGGTTAGACTTTCAAACCCTCTACCTAAAAGTCAGGCTGTGAAAGGTGAAATGAGTGGCGGGTTTCGAATTGGACATCCTGGATCTGGTTTTAACAGGCCTGGTAAGTAACTGTGCTCCCTCCCGAATTCCTCTACTGCTTGTGTTGTTATATGAGGATTTGTTTGTTGACTTCTATGGCTGTGCAGGTAGAGGTTTTAATAGGGGAAGAGCTGCCCCTCGCCGGGAAGGTTTCCATGGTGATAGGGGTTTCAATAATCACACTCCTGTTCGTGGTGGGAGATTTAATTCTGCATACAGTAACAACAGTTTTGAAGCTTCGCCCTCTGATTTCCGAGCCAGGCAGGCTCCTCCTGCCTTTCGAGGTGGGCTTCCTATTGTGATTCAGAAACACAAATTTACTGCTTCAACCTTTTGAGCTCATTTTTACACTGCTGACTAATATTCGGCTTCGCAGGGGGTTCCTCAGGAAGGCAGCATGATTTGTTTGATAGAGGACAGGGGAGAGGATATCATCATCCACCTAGAGGGCCAACATTTGAGCCCGAGGGTGATTTTGGTAGACCCTTTGGTGAAAACCCATATCTCTATGAAGATGTTCGGCATGGTGCTAAGAGGCCATATTCTCACATGGTTTGTTACAATATTGTATTGCTATGTTAAGTGCTAAGTAATTAATTCTCTGTACCATCTGCACTGAACTTACTTTTTATATGATAGGAACCCGGTCCTCCTGGATACTTTGAGCATGGTGGTCCTCCTCGTGTGCGCCCTCGCTTTGACCATTACGAGCAGCCACCATTTCCTGGAGGGAACCGTTTTGGTCATTATGACCAGCCACCATTTCCTGGAGGTGACCGCCACAGAGGTTGTAATCCTATGCTGTAACCATTTTGCTATGCCCCTTTGATCTTATTTTGTGATAGTTTCTCATTGTATATTGCCATTGCAGACTCTTTTGGGACGAGGGGTGGTTATTCACGTGATCATCACTATGGCCCTGCTCCTGGTCATGCCCATGCCCATGCCCCTCCCCCTGCCCCAGCTGTAAGTATAATATACCTTGGTGAAGTTTGGTTATCCCTCTGTCTATTTGTCTAATTTTCTGGCCTTTGCTTTTGTCTACCATGTAATGCAGCAATATGGTAGGGGTGCATTCCAACCACACCATAGAGGCGGGCATTCTGGAGGCGGTTATTACCACCACTAGGTGGTATCACAGTATGTCTCTTGTCAGCTGGTGTGGCTTTCTCTTACTGGTCTTGTTTGATATTTGCAATGATCATGCGGCACTAACATCGGTTTACATGCAGACATCAGGTGGTGCCGTGTGACACTAGTGTTTGGTTTGGTAGTGACTAGTGAGAAACATATTGCCGCTTATTAGCTACTAGTACTCGCAAGTCAGTTGGTTGTTAGTTATCTTTCAAAGTACCGTTCGTTGTCGCAGACCAATAATTAACTGTCCTTGTTAAAGGACATGTTTGGGGTCATGAATCTGTTGTGAGGATATTGGTGGATGATGTTATAGAACTAGAGGCATGACATGGACCGACCTCTCTGTATTTGATTAGATAACATTATGGATTATGGATTTTAGACAGTTTATGTGGCTTTGCGGAGAATTGCCTGAGATTGTTGATGTTGGTCTTGAGGTCAATGGGGATATGAGACTGTTGTTTGGTAAGATATTTGATTCTTGTCTTGGGGATATTTGGTGTACATGTTGTGATTATATAGTGGATGGATGATGCATGCAGTAACTAGCATTCACATGAGGCTGCAGTTTATGGTGTCACAATTGTTGGAGTTGGTCAAGTAGACTTGTTTTGTCGAGGTTCATTGGCTGGCTATTTTAGCACTTGGGTCCAAATTTGGTCATATTTATGAGGTGCTCATTGGGGGACATGATGACAGAATTTCAGCATGGATCAACAAGTTGTTTTGGTGTTATATAAGAGATTGGTTCTGGTTGGTTCAATTATGAGTTGGATTTTGGGTTGTTGATGGTTGCATACGGAAACTTTTAGGCTTTGGTGTTTCTGGTACGCCAAGGAGTAGGAATTTTGGCCCCTAACTTGATTTCCTTGTCTTGGTAATTTGCTAACGTGCGAAAATTACTGGAGCATCTTCATGAGGCAGGTAAGATGTTCGTCTAGAGGCGGCGTGCTGCATTCTTGGGGCGATGAAGGCATTCTTGGTGTATGCATAGCAGCATTTGAAGATGGATGTTTTGTTTGTACATTTGACCACTCTTGTGTTTTTAGATACATTCCCAGATGTTTTTTTGTTTTTTGAAACTCCGTGCACACATGTTTTGAATGTGATGATAATTATAATTGCTTACTCCCTCTTGATGCGAATAAGTCTGGCATGAAAATTTAGGTCATCGATTTAACTAGTCGAGCATGCATAATTAATATGCCATAAAAATCACTCCCTCCATTTCAAAATAACTATCTCAATTTTGCACTCTTATTTTGGGACGGAGGGAGTATGTTTCAATCTCATTTGATAATGAATCAAGAGACATAATTTTTATGGCTCACAATACATGTTTGGATAGTCAGATCTAGGACCTAAAAAACCATATGACCAAATTATATTTCACACCCAGGGCAGGTATTCGTTGGTTGGAACAAAAGGTGTGGTAGAAACAAGTGCATTTCATATTTGAACCAAATACAGCCAGAAAACAAATACCGCCAGAAAATGTTTCAAGCCTGTTTCTATATACGTATATATAATCACATCGCACGTCACTTGGTACGTACGCCTGTGTTTGCGAGAACAGAAAATACAACTTGAACATACTCCAAAACGTTTCAAGTCCGCTCAAAGCTCAAATTCAACTCTCAACCGTCGAGCAGAATTCTCGACGCCCAAAAGGGTGATTCTGTAATTGAAATCTAGCATTCATCTCTGTGGCATGCACCGGCCAACAACACTCACTGGAAAGTAATTGAAATCTACTCCCTCCGTTCCAAAATACTTGATTTTCATTTGTCCAAAAATGAATGTACCTATATACTAAAACATGTCTAGATACATCTATATTTTGACAGAGGGAAGGCATGTATTGTGGAACGGAGGGAGTAGCATTCATCTCTGTGGCATGCACCGGCCAACAACACTCACTGGAATTCATTCTTCTGGTTGATGTACCAAACAAGTCCCAAGTTGACCATCCAATCCTGTATTTAAAGATTGATTGATGATGAATACTACTAATGACCATCATATATCACAAGATAAGATAGACCATGCTCGTCTCTTGATAAACAACAACAACAACAAGAAAACACACAAGATCTGTATTGTATCGGCCATGCAAATTGGCTGGGTATATCCAAAAATGTTGTTGTTACCTCTTGTTCTTCTGCCAAAAAATCACTCTTCCAGGTCCCCTCCTTACCCAGCCATGTATCTATGTCAACTTCAATTATTAAACATGCAAGCCAGACAGACAGACAGACAGAGGTTACGGGTTACCTGCACTGCACTGCCTAGGATGATATGATAGTGCTATCATCATCTCAAGACGTTCAGCTCTATCGCACAACAATTTTTCAGTTCCTAGACTGAAAGAAATCCCAATGTCGGCCATCCTCGTGTTTTAACGATTGTACGATACACCTACTGCAGATACTAGTCAATGTCATCTCTTAAAATCTGTCGACAAGAAATGCCTGGCGGTGCAAATTAAATCTTGTACAAGACTGGGCCTTCAGAAACCTTGCATATATCCTATAATGTTAACCTGAATTTTCCAGGTCCTAAACAAACCAACCTTGCATATATCATCATCAGTTTAACATGCAAGACAGAGGTTACGGGTTACCTGCCTACTGTTTCTTCCAGGTCCTACCCAACCCTGTACGATAGTAATTTTCATCATATCACACCTAATAATCCACGTGTTTAACGATTGTACCATACACCTACTGCAGATACTAGTCAATGTCATTTCTTAAAATCTGTCAAGAAGAAAGGCCTGGCGCAGTACACAGAATCTGTACTGGCAGTGCAAATTAAATCTTGTACGTACAAGACTAGGCATTCAGAAACCGCTCTACTATAATGTTACCTGAATTTTCCAGGTCCCACCCAACCTTCCATACGTCATCAATTCAGCATGCAAGACAGGTTACGGGTTACCTGCTTACTGTTCTTCCAGGTCGTATCATCAACCATTTTAACATGCAAGACAGAGGTGACGGATTACCTTCCTACTGTTTCTTCCAGGTCCGGTCCGAACCAGCCTTGTATATATCATCAATCATTTTAACATGTATAAGACGGAGATTACGGGTTACCTTCCTACTGTTCTCCCAGGTCGTATCATCAACCATTTTAACATGTAGTATAAGATGGAGGTTACGGGTTACCTTCCTACTGTTCTCCCAGGTCGTATCATCAACCATTTTAACATGTAGTATAAGATGGAGGTTACGGGTTACCTTCCTACTGTTCTCCCAGGTCGTATCATCAACCATTTTAACATGTAGTATAAGATGGAGGTTACGGGTTACCTTCCTACTGTTTCTTCCAGGTCCGGTCCGACCCAACCTTGTATATATCATCAATCATTTTAACATGTATAAGATGGAGGTTACCTGTCTAGTGTTTCTTCCAGGTCCTAACCAAACCTTGTATGTCATCAATCAATCAATCATTTTAACATGTAAGACAGACAGAGGTTACGGAATACCTGCCTAGGATAGGATAGGATGATAGTATCATCATACGGCTTTCAGCTCTTATCATATCAAACAACATTTTCTCAGTTCCTAGACTGGAAACACAATCTCAGAGTGCACGTAAGATGTAATAAACACAGAAATATTGCCAAGAAACAGATGGTACCTTCCTCTGTTTTTTATCCTCTCTATAATAAAAGGAAGACCATAGGGGTATGGTTTCAACAAAGAGCTGCTAGAGCAGAGTAAGGTTTAAATTTAATCATGACAACACTCAGACATTGTGACTGAATGAATAAGCAAAGGAGCATAATGGTCTACCTCATGAGTCTCATATAACTTGAAATGATTAATAACCATGCCTGCCTGGAGACCGGGACCTGCTCCTCACCCTCCCCGGGTCTCCTCTTCTTGAAAAATCACCACCGTTCCTATCTCTGGGCCTCGCCCTTTCAGAATCCCTGCGGCTGTTATAGGAACCGCCTCTATAGTCTGACCCTCTACCTCCCTGCTCATAGGGCCTCTCTCTGTCACGGCTTCCTCGCTCATAGTAGCGGTCACGGTCATGCTCCCTGGATCTCTCCCTATAGTCGTCGCGGTGGCCTCTGTTATGGTATCCTCTCTCCCGGTTCTGACGCTCCTCTGCTTCCTTCTCCCTTGCAAGCTTCTCCGCTTCTTTCGCAGCCTGAAAAAGCAACTATCATCAGAACTTGGTGTGCGTGATGAAGCAAACAAAAAAGAAAACATTGTTCTGTTTTGGCGCAACCACTAGTTACAACTGACCTTGTATTCGGCGAGGAATTCCCTGACCAGACCATAACCAATGTGTTGTTTGCCGGTGACATGGGACTGCGTCCTCTCAAGGACGTCGTTGGTGACGAGAAAGGAGCCGCACTGCTCGCAGAGCTCCATCTTCTTCTCTTGCGGGACCATGGAGAGCTTGGTCTCTATCTGGTGGGTCAGAGCCGACTTCTCGAGGTTGAGAATGTCCACCTGCAAGCCAGGAACAGAAGCTTTTGAGGCATCATGTAATCATCGCCAATGGCTAGTAATAATCAGTAAGACGATGTTTCGTTCACTGTCCGTGCTAGCCTTGCCAAAGTTGGCCACGCGAATAATTTGGCGTAGGTTTTCACCGCCAGCGATTCGGCAACCCGCGGATGTACAAAGGCTGCCAAAAAATTGGCGTGGATCCGACTTTTTGGTGTCTAGTATCGAAAGCACGCCAACGCCAATTAATTAATTGGTAGGGCAGCCCCAGGCTTGAATTCAATCCAAACAGACCCTAAGTAAGATTAGTAAACACAAAGAGAAGGCCAGAGGGTCTGTGCAGGACCTTCCTCATGAGCGCAGTGGCCTCGTCGATCTTGCCGGTGTCGCCGAGCTGCTCAATCTGCTCGAGCAGCTTCTTGATCTTGTCTTCGAGAATGGCGAGCTGCTCGACCTTCTCGGCATGGGCGGCGGGGGGCGGCACCTCCACGACGTCCTGCGCAAGCCTGTCGCGGCCGCGCCTGATCTTCTTATCCAGGTCCTGGACCTGCAGCAGAAAGAAAGAGATATATGTTGGAATCTGGATAGATAATTCAACCACAAAACATATGTAGATGCAAAATCTGTGTGTGCGTGCGGGGGGGAAGAGCAAGAGGAAGAGGAAGAAGGAAACAGACCAGCCTCTCGCAGCGGTGGGCGAGGTCAGCCTCGAATTTGGGGAGGACGGCGGCGTAGCGGGGGGAGGACTCGAAGCTGCATACAAACATTCATCGATTTGGTTAGGATTAGGATTTTGTTAGCGGGGGGATGAAGATGAATCGGAAGAAATCTAGATAAAAACCTTTGCTTTAGGGCCGGGTCGTGGATCTTTGGGCATACTCCGAGGTTGCTCTTGGTGTTGATGAAGAGGTCGTGGGGGCAGAAGCGGGCCATGTAGGGGGCGCACACGTCGGGGTCGTCCCACGCCACCTCCCGGTGCTCCTTCTTCTCCTCCTCCGTCAGGTCCCGCGACGACCCCATCAGCGCGTCCAGCAGAGCACGCTGCGCGTCCATCTCTATCGCTTCTCTTCGATTCGATTCGACCACGCCGCGCCGGCCGCTCCAATCCAATCGAGGGATCTCCGGCCACAAACCCTAACCCTCGGCGGCGGCGGCTGTGTGAGATGTCTGGGGAAGGCACGAGAGCCAGAGGAAGAAATACACCAGAGAGAGAGAGAGAGAGAGAAAAGTGCAGGCCGGCCATTGGATTTCTTGGATAATTGTTATTTGGGCCCAAATCTCAATGAAATTTCAGGTTCCAAGTCCAATTACCCAATTTGTTGTTGTATTTATTACTCCAACTCTTCTACTATAGGATTTTCATCTGGTTTTAGTTATCTCTATCTACTCCTAATAGACGAGTTGGTGAATAGTCTCCGCGGTTTATTTTCTCTGTATTTTTTTTTCGTCTCTCCTCCCACCACCCCCTCCCACCCTGGTCCATCGGTTTATTTTTCTCTTCACTCTTTATTACAACCAGCACTTTCCTAACGTATAACAAATCACGGATCTAACTTTCTTAAATTATGCAAATCAATCGATTCCTTTTATTGGTTCAATTTGTCTTAGGAAACAAATACAGATTTTCAGAAAACAAATAATACATTTTAACCTAACTTTCTTAACTTATCTAAATTAATCGATTTCTCTTATTAGTGAAAATTTGTTTTATGAAACAAATAACAGACACGTCACAACTTTCCTTCCAATAAATAGTTTCTTAACATTTGCAAACTTTCCTAATCAGACACGTCACAAACGGGCAGGTACTGATATCACGTTACCAAACAATAAAACCCCATTTGCATAGAAATCAGTTCAAAAATCCTAACTTTCCTAAATTTTTACATTTCCTTGATAACAACCAATATTTCCTGTCTTTTCCACTTGCTGAAGGAAATCACCCCTCCATCGATATTAGCACTTTTTCGGAATGAGATCTTCGGGTTATGATTTTTTTGCGATTCTTTTCAATTGTGATCTCTCCTTCCACTCCGACTCCTTCTTGCATAAACACCTCCACCACAGCCAGGTGACACCACCCCAGACCTCCTGCCTCTCCACACCTTCTCCGCCACCTCCTTCTCGTACTCCATTAACAATCCCTCCACCACATTTGTCCACGGCGGTGTCGAGGGCATGGCGCAGCAGCGTACCAGCGGTAGAGCAGCGCATAGCAGCAGGAAGCAGCACGCAGCAGGCGAGGCGAGCGGCCGACGGTGAAGGGCAGAGATGCGGCCAACGTGGCTGAGGGGGCGGCCGGTAGAAGATGGCCACGACTGGAGGCGACGCGAGGCAGGGGCGCGACAGCGGGGCAAGCGAAGGGATAGGCGGCAGCAGACGGGGTGAGTGCAGCCAGCGAGAGTGTGGCGCGCGGCCAGGGTGTGTGTCGCACGGGGCACAATGGTGCGGTGGCTGCGGCGAGCGCGACGGCAACGGCGGGCGCGACCGACGCGGTGTAGCACGGGCGTGGGCATGGAAAGGGAGTGGCCTCGCGGGCGCGGAAGAAGAGCCGCAGGCTCGGGCATGGGCGTGCATAGGAGCGGGCATGTGCCACGGGGTCAATCCGAGGAGCTCGGTGGCTACCCCTGCAATGGCCATGGCGGACGGCGGTTCTCGGCCACGGCGAAATACCTAATGAGAGCAAACGCGAGGGGAAACAGGGGAAAGGCAAGAGGAGATCATGGCGGTGTCAATGGCGCCCTAGGGGAAGACATGGGAGCTCGGGCGCGGCGCGGATCGAACGGCAATGTCGCGGTGGCCCAAGGTTGAGGAAGACGGCAGCGACGTCGATGCAGGGGTGATGGACATGATCTCGTTGGCGCAGACGAAGTAGCGAAGGCGTTCGGAGCTCCTCGACAAGCTCCTAGCCCGCAGGGAGGGTAGTGGCCGTGTGGACGGGGTTGGTCATGGTGGCTATGGCGTCTGACTTCGTCCAGATCGACGGGATCGAGCGAGCGAGAAGGAGAAGTGGATTCGAGAGGGGGCGTCGAGGAGGAGTGAGGCCATTGGGGCAGGGAAGGCAGGGCGTCACCCTTATCCATTCCCCTTCGATGCCAGCGAGGTGGTCGGGCGGGAGCCCGGCTCTGTAGCGACGCGGCTCGGGGAACAGGAGAAGACGACCGCGCGTGGACTCGACAGCTGAGCCGGTTCGGTGGCAAGGCCCGGGGGGCAGGGCGAATCCCCTTTTACATCGTCCTTTTGGTTTTTCAATGTATTCTAATATGTTTCTCCTTTTTAACACCGTTTTCTATTTATTTTTATCAACTAAATGACCTCTACTCCTAATGTCTCAGTTGGTAGTCTTCGTTCCGGGTTTATTTTCGTCCCACCTCCCCTGGTTTTTTTTCGTCATCCCTCCCACCTCCCAATTTCTTGTAGGTGCTTCTCAAGCTGGAGGACAACATATTAGTCAAGGCATTAGGGATCCTCATTGATGTTTTATCTCTCGTCTGCACTTATTTTGTTTGCTCCAATTCTATATATTCTCACGAGTAGATGAGGTGTAAGCATGTGCAATGTAGTTCCTTTTTCTACATATGGTGATTGATTTCTTCTTTGGTAACCCAACTAACGGATGGTAATCAATCTTCAAATACCAAAACCAAACGTACAAGGCAACAATCAATTCATGTATCACAATCAGATTCTTCTTTAGTACCCAGCTTAACTCACGGATGGTAATCAATCTCCAAACAAAGGAAACAATCTCGCCAATGTTACATAAAAATAACGCTGAGAATTTAGATGTATTGTTTGTCATGGAGCTGTGGCTGGCCGATTACATGAAATTAATTCCCTTGGTTGTGGTGGCAAATATAATACACATAATTCATATTATTATGCACTAGCGCGTGTGCTTGTGAAATAGATGGATTATGGTCCTGTATCCAATAAGATGGATATGTGTGTGTGTTAGCAAGAGAGAGAGGGGGGAGAGAGAGTGAGGAAGAGGGAGGGAGAGGGTGTGTGAGAGAGAGAATTTGATGGTAAAAAAGGTCGTCAATGTCACTTAATATGTATGAGAATATTAAATGTAATATTAACATAATTGATATTGAACTCTTAAAGTTAATGTGGCCCCGTTGCAACGCACGGGCGTTCTTCTAGTCTATATATATATAGTATGTATGTATATAACTCCTCTTAGCTTGGTAATAATTCCCCTCTTGCGGCTGCGGTAGCCTGGGCTCTCATCCCCTCCATGCTTCAACGACGAGCCTATGGATCCGACCCCCTTCCGCCTCTCACTCTGGCTAGGAGATGGATTCGGGCGCCTCGTCTCCGGGCCAGTAGTTTAGCTTAGGATTTTTTTTCCTCAAAGGTGTGACGCTTGGGTTGGAGATGATGCTTCATCTTCGAGTTGGTCTTTCAAACTTCAATCTTGAGTTTGTTCACCGGGGCGGAATCAACAAAGCTTCGACGTAGATTCGTGTCATCTCCTTCAGGAAGCGAGAGTGTCGTATGGGTGCAACGGAGAGATTTGATGGTAAGCAAAAACTTACCGGTTGTCACAAACAAGGCCAGGTCAGCTTCAATAAAAGGTGTGGCAACAATGGCTCGTCCTAACGATGAGAGAGAGAGAGATTGTTGGTGGCCCATGTACTGAATGTACTTTTTAGAGTTAATTACACACGGGGTACCAAAACTTGTGTGGCGGTACTAAAATCATACCTAAACTAAAAAACCCATAAAAGTGGTACATTATTTTTAATAAGGACTCAATAAGGTCCAAATCATATCCAAAGTAGCCACACGCCACGTATGCCGGAAAAGCCTCCTAAGATATATGCTAATTAACCCATGTGTTTTTATGCGGAAAGCCCCCTAAGATATATGCTAATTAAACCATGTCACTCCTCTCTATTTTATCCCAGTTCGCAAATCCCCTTCTCCAAATCCCTAGCCCAACTCCCGATGGCACACCAACTTCTCGTGTGCACACCATGGAGGGAGGGGAGAGGATGGGGCGCTCTACTGGGTCATCGTCAATGGCAAGCTCTCATTGTGCACCTATGAGTGGCGAGATCCGTGACAGGAATGGCGGCGTCAACCAAGCCAGCGGCACCGATGGTGACATGGCTAGCAAATGGAGAATGACCTCAACGCTTCATTTTGAGCCTTTTCGCTTTTGCTGATGCCAGTCACCAAATGTAAGCGGGTGAAAATGGGTCATGTGAAATTGCCCAAGATGATAGCTAGGGTAGAATCGTGTGGGTGCGAAATGAAGCCGGTTCTTAGAATGTGCAATGAAGGCTTTGATGCAGACCAACGATTTCAGAGTTGTCCATATGAGGTACTAAATTAGGTTTTTTTGGTTTCACTAAATTTTGCATTGTCTAAAATTTTGACTGAATGTGCTTTTGCCATTTAAAATTATAGGGATTTCACTCCTGTGGGTACTTGAGGTGTATCGATCAAGAGTGACTGGGAAAAGCAAGGCTTGTGATTCACAAGCCTGCAGATGACAACAAGAAGCTGCAAAAGGCTCTATTTTAGAAGGATCGGGATATTGTAGGATGAAGCAAGAGAGGAATCAACAGAATGAGTAGAGCAACAGAAGGGGGAAAATATATTTATTTGTAATATATTGTGGTGTATGCAAGTGTTTGTTGGAAATATGCCCTAGAGGCAATAATAAAATCATTATTATTATATTTCCTTGTTCATGATAATTGTCTTCATTCATGCTATAATTGTATTATCCGGAAATCGTAATACATGTGTGAATAATAGACACCAACATGTCCCTAGTAAGCCTCTAGTTGACTAGCTCGTTGATCAACAGATAGTCATGGTTTCCTGACTATGGACATTGGATGTCATTGATAACGAGATCACATCATTAGGAGAATGATGTGATGGACAAGACCCAATCCTAAACATAGCACAAGATCGTATAGTTCGTTTGCTAGAGTTTTCCAATGTCAAGTATCCTTTCCTTAGACCATGAGATCGTGTAACTCCCGGATACCGTAGGAGTGCTTTGGGTATACCAAACATCACAACGTAAC